TAATAATTAAAGATGCCATATCTACTAAAACTAAGTTTGGCCCAACTTGAAAAATTGCGTATTTATTAATTAAATTCTTATATTTTATAATTCATCTCCTATTTCCTATTTTCTGGTTTTTTGACATTTAATATACATATATATATATATTTTTTTTATACGAGTTGTTTTAAAGGAGGTCTGTAGAAATAAGAGGGACTCGATTAATATTACATCCAGTCAAAGGAATTTTTTATGCAAAAACTTGAAATATTTTATACGAAAATGACAAAAATGGCAACTTCTACGCATATCATATTCCTAACAAAAGGGTTTCGTTTATAGAAATTTGAACAATTTTTTTTATAATTAAGCAAATATAAAATTTTTGACGAAAAAAATAATAACTTGTAAAGCCAAAGTCTGCCAATATATCTTTAAAGAGTTGGACACCTTCTATTTACAAAAAAACCTACTTACGATATTGAATGAAGTGATAGATAGGGCGAAATAAGTGAAACATCTTTATTTTTTTTTAAATCTAATATTTTAATATGTTTGATTTTGATTTATATAAATTTTAACAAAGTTTAACATTACTCACTTTAATGTCAATGCCTTTTTTTCAAGACATATATTTTTGAAATCAGTGCAGGGAAACGTGTTGCTAGCTACTTAGAGAGGAATATGTAAGTCCAAAATCGATTCATTTATTTTGGATGCAATGATGGTTTTTTTAAGGCGGTAATCAGTTGCAGGAAGTAATCAATTATCAACTGCACACCGCGTCAAATAAATGATCGTTCACATATCCTAATCTCCCGTGGATAGGTATTCGTTTTGATACATGGCCTTAGACGAACTAAATTTATATGAGAAAGATAAGTTTTTCATCTCACTATCCGATATAGTAGATCTCCTTGGCGATATCAGGAGAACAGCAAAAACCCTAACAGAAATATTTATTATACAAGCAAAAAATAGAAAAAAATAATATGAAATAACAATCTTAAGGGTGGCCAATGGCCAAACTTTTTGGAAAACATCAAATGTTAACCTTATGTGTCAATGTAATAGAAATCAAATTATTCGCGTCGCGTAAGAAAGGGGAAATAATAACTAACCGCTCACGCTTGTGTTTTAAGGTAGGCGCGTTATCTATTAATTTATAATAAATTTAAAAATAATGAATGAACGAAAAGAAAAAGAAAAAAAAATTAATATAATATATTTTGAATTATTATTTTTATTTTTAACTCCTCAAGATATGGAGATACCCAATTCTCTAAATATAATTATCTTTTTGTAATGAGGTACACCCTTTTAACTATTTATTTTTTTTGTAGAAAACGATATTTTTAAAAGCTTTTTCTTAAGTGGGAAAAAATTATTTCAATTTTATGAGAAATCAAATGGTATTTTTATGTAAAAATTAGTATATTTTTTTTATCACACTGTTAAAATTAATTGATAGCACTGGTTTAATTTTTAACGATTTTCACAATTTTCGAAATTAATAAATAAAAGCTAGGCCCCCCTTAAAACAATATATATAGTATATATATATATATTAAGCCTTCAACAATATATCTCTCTATACTCCCTTTTCCGAGCTAACCTGTTAGCTGACGTTGACTTCAGTGAAAATTGTGTAACCAAGTGAAAACTTACATAAACTACTTAGTATTGTTAAATCACCCCATTTGGGTTAATTATTTTTAAAAACGACTAAATTAGATGACATGAGAGCATTTTGTTATTAAAATCTTACATTTCTCATATATATATAAATCGAAATATGATCGTTTTCCCATCCATTTTAAAGGTTTGACATGTAAGGTATAAAACTATAATAACCTAATGGTAATTTTTGGCCATCACCAGATATGATAAACGCGGTTTTATACACTACTACGTAGTGTTGTTAAATTAACTTTATTTCAACTGTAAAACACCGTAGCTACGTATTCATCCAAAAATTATTCGAATCAATCTTCAAGCTGAGGCTCACTCTTAGAAGCCTTGATTAAATTTTTTAGGCTAAAAGCTTGACAAAACCACAATGGTCAAAGTTAGATAATTTAACAACACTACCACTACGCTTATTGTAATTATGGTAAAAAATTATTATATTTTACTTTAATCTTCCACGCCATTGTTAACTTATTTTTTTATTCATCTCCTTCAAAAAAAAAAGAAGCATACTAAAAAAATAATAATTTAATGTAAAAAAAATTATAAAATAATAATTATTGGATATTTTTTGATGGAGAGAGCAAGTATTTTAAATTAGAAATCTGCAAAAGATTTTTTTATAAGGTCTTTAATGACCTATACAATTCTTACAAGAGATTTTTAATCAGGTCTTTTCCCCTTTATGACCATCTAATTTGTCGGGCCAGTAAAATAATTTTATAGAAATTGATCAGCAGTGGCGTAGGCGTGAAGCGGGGGCGGGGGGGCATGTTGGTTAAACGTTTTCCGTTACCTTTAAACAAAAAAAATAAACGCGTTACCGTTTACTCGTTACCTCTAGGACAAGGCAACGAATGGCATTCCGTTTTCTTTAAAAAAAGAGATAACGAAGTTACTTTTACACCACTCATATTTTTATGAAGAAAAACTCTCTAAAATTTTGTTATACGCAAATATTTAAAATAATTTTAACGTACCCTAAAATTATAAGCAATTGAGTGTTCATAAAAAAATGGCCCCCGCATTAGAAAATCCCGAATGCTATAAATATTTATGATTTAAAATAAAACATAAAATTGCCTAATAGTTTAAGCTTTAAAATATTTGTTAATTTTAAGGTCCGATAGAATATTTTTGTACGAGGTTTTCCGACCCCGAAAATCATTTTACCTGCGAGCCTCAAATTAAAATTCTTTTTTTTTAGGAAATTAGCCAGTAAAAATTTTGTCAGAGTATTACTACTATTATCGCATGATTATATAATGAAAGCAGGACTGGCACCCATACATAATTGGTTTGTCTCAAGATCAAAAATAAGAGGCTAGCAGTTCTTTGTACCAAACCCCTGCCAAAAATAAATAAATGAGCTAGATCTAAATATTCACAAAATACTTCCTAATCATATTATACGTAATATAGATATTAAAATTTATAAGGGATTTTATAATCATATAATCATTTTTTTATTAGCCGATAATTGATTGGCCAGAGAAAAGACGAATATAATCAAATAAAAATAAATTTTAAAAATTAAAATTTTGATTTATACAATTTTAAATTTTTATGGACGTGAACAAAATTTTGTCTTTAAGAGTCGGGCCACCAAAAATTGAGAATTGGACATAAATATATTTAATGCCAGCTTTGAGTGAATAACAAATTATGGCTATTCTTTCTTTCTTTCTTTCTTTCTTTCTTTCTTTCTTTCTACCAATCTCTAATTTAAAAAATAACAAACTAATTTTAAGGTTAATTTTTACATTTGCCCGAATTGAATTGCGAATATTATGTTGATTAAAATAACTTCACCTGGGCTATTTCACATTAAAATTTCGATTTTCCATCTTTGGAGTATATATTCTTTGGATTCTAGGACTAAATGCCCTATTATGTATATATTTTGTGTCCATAAAGTGTGCAGAATCTTAACCAGCTACTAATCTATCAGCTTGAATTTATTAGAAATCTTGTATTGATAAAATCTTCCTGTCATCCACCCCCCCCCCTTCCTAGACTATCCCACTAAAATGACAATCAAAATGCATTTTTAAAATTTTTATTAAATATTTGATAATCTAAATTATTTTATTATTATAATGACAATTCTTAAGTACTGTATTAAATTAATAAAATGGGTGTTACATTAAATAATTGTGAAATCGAATAATATTTTAACATTTAAACTTTATTTAAAATGAGACAATATTGTAAAAAATTTTTAAAGATTATTAATGAATGTCTAAAGAATATTAGCTATCAAAGATTTTTATGCATACATCTCCTCTAGCTTAACACTATAATTTAATGGATATTTTTTTGACATATTTTTTATTCTATTTATTAATGTAAATCAAGTATTATTTAGAAATATTATATCAAAAAGCGCCATCATTAGGGGAAAATTTTATTGTTAGTTATGATTTAAATCAATTTTTTTTTAAATCAATTTTTTTAATTATAAATCAAAAATAAAAATTGGTAATTTATTTGAATAAATTATTTTTTCGAAATTATTTATAAAAGTAAATATATTTCATTTATATAATATATAATGATTCATATAAAAATATTTACTATATATAGTGATAATAAAATGATTTATATGAAATTTAACACAATAACATCATTTGTGGTTTCCTTTATTCATAACTATTAATTATAAAATAATAAACAAATTTTTAATTTCCGGTCATAGGTTGCTTTATTTGGATAGTATCTGACAGAACGATCCTTTTTAAAAGTAACTCCAGCTTCCGCTCCAAGTAATGGAGTTCTACTCCATAACCGCTTCTTTGATTTTCATTTTATTTAGAAGGTACACGAAACAAAATCATATTTTTCAAAAAGTTTTATTTATATTAAATGATCTAAAATATTTATAATCTTTTATTAGCCTTAAAAGTAATAAATTTTTCTAAATTAGAATCCCTAAGACGTGTTTTGCAATCCTAAATAAGCGCTCCACAGGAGCACTAGAGTGAATGTATTTTATAAAGTTATTTTTTAATTCAGGTATAAAAAAGGAGGTTGAACATTAAAATAAATATTAAAATATATTTAAAAAAGCATCATATCTAACAACCCAGGCTCAACTATAATGATTTGCCCAAAAATAATTATAACAATTTAAAAAACATTATTCCAAAATAAAAAAATGTTATAGCTTTTAAAAGAAAGTTTTTACATTTAGATGACTTTTTAGATTAAAGCTGCTCACTTTTGCTAATGAATGACTTTTACTTAAACACAAAAGGCATTTTGCCCTCAAATATGTTTGATCATTTGGATCAATATCTTTTAGAAGTTTAAAACATTTTTTGTGTGATGGAAAATTTGATTTCTTCTGATCTCTAAATTCATAATATCTAAAACTATTTTTTATTATATATGTCGACAGCATTAACTTTCCTAAAATAAACCTCCCATTATCTCTAGAATTCCTAAAGATTCCAGAGTACAAGTAGCCAAAACCCTCTCCACCTGTCTTCAATCATTACTAAATAACTTCTCCTCTCTCGATCATTGGCTCAAACTCTTCTCATTTTCCTTCACCACTCTCCAACCACCCAATCCAAAAATCCTTAAATCTTTAGCCCAACAAATCAAAGATGCAACTATAGATCCCTTCAACAACCACTGTATCTCCACACGAACCTAAAAACTTTCGGCATAGATTTTTGAGGGGAGTTTGCACCCACTAATTCCTTTCATATAGACGCTGACTCTAGGCGAGGTCAATCGCACTAAGGCGACTAATATTAATGCTCTTTGAGAGATCACAATTTTAATTGGGAGGAGAAAAGCGGATGTTAATAAAAGGTAACACCACATGGTGAAGATAAATTGGGAACAAAGACAGGTATTTTAGGATAGACTTTGAGTTACTGATCCCTCTAGATGATATAAGTTTACTTTCAATTAATGAAGGGGAAATGTAGTAATGTGGAAAATATACATATATGGATATTATTGATATATTCGGAAATATATCTTTGAATATATCGAATTATATTAATATTATGAATAAGTATGGTTAATAAAAGATATATTTTATATTGATTATATACATATATTTATGATTTATAATTGGATGAAGGTTAACTACTTAACATCCGTAGCATCTATCATAATGTGCAAATGCTTGCTGTAGTGATAAATTAAATGTTATATTAAATTATTGTGATTTCTAATTTACAAATCTAATTGTATTTTATAAAAATGAGACAACATTGTCAAATAAAAATATTGAAAAATTAATACTTTTATGAATTATTTCTCAGGCATAACAATATAATTAAAATAATTATTTTAATTTGTAATATTTTTTTATATCTTTATATTAACATTATGTTAATTACTTTTAAAAAAAATGTAATAAATATCATTAGTAGGGATTTATATTGTTTTTTATATATTTTTAATATTATTTTTCTAAAAATAATTATTCCATTATTATCATAACACAGTGCCAATATTATAAATAAATAAAATGGTGATTTTAAGATATTATTTTGCCAAAAATCTTATTTGAAAAATAACTGTATTTACAATTTTAAAGATAATAAGATATTTAAAATTTTTTTATTTAAAAATCATTCAAATATTTTTTTAACTTATTTATATTTACAATGTTTATTGACCTTTGTAGCCTTTAATGGATATTTTGAATTGCCTTTTAATTAATATAATTTTTAGTTGAAATATCCTTATTAATTCTTACAATTAATTAATTTAACCTATAATTAGTTGATGTTATAATTTCTGTTTAATAATAAGATCTATCAGGTTAAATTGGTCACTTCCAAGTATAATTTCAATGTGAGATATATTTAATAAGGTGATTAAGGAAAAAAATAATACATAAGGAATTGAGTTAATTAAAAAGCTTAGGTTTAGATGAGAGAAATTTCAATTAACTTAATTTAGATTTTATATTGCTACATAGTTTGTTCTATTTAAATTAATAAGATTTATTAGGTTATATATTGGTCACTTATTTTATAGTCAAAACAGAATTTTTTTTTATAATTCTATATATTATTAAACTTTACCGAAGACCTAAAACCGCGCGACTTAGATTTTTTTTTTATTTCGTCGCCATTTTTTATAGTCAGTCAAAACAATAGATTTTTTATTATAAAATTGTTTCCTATATATAGTCTTTTATAATTATGTCATTTAACTTCTACTAATATGCAATTACATTGACCTCCTTAAGATAATATTAAATGTAAGAAAGTTATAATAATATATAATTCAATTAGCGTAACCTTTTAAAATATATATAAACATTCAAATATAACAACTTCCAGGTAAAAGTTTGGTCCAGAATTAATCATCTCTTGACCAATCATCTAAATATACATACAACACTTTTTCATTTCAACAGACTTTTGTTCCATATAAAGATACTAGTATCAAAAAATTGTATCATGAAATTAATTTACTTAAGACATATCATTGTACATTTAATATTATTATGCACCACATCGCTTTCATTATCATAATCCACAAATCCTATTGGAAATTATTTTAGTAGATGTTGCATGGTATTTTTGAAATCCTCAAATATTAAAAAATAGGTTTATTTATTCCGAAGGAAATAAAAATCTATTAAATCACATTTACATTACACAATTTAAAAAAAAAAATTTAATTTATAATAAATTTATCCCAATAAATTAAAAATAAAATAAATTATTTGAATATATTATTTAGATTTATACATACATATTTTTTAAAAGTTACTTTTGGCAGTTACATTGTTAAATATATAACTAGTTACAGTTACTAGTTACAATTTTTAAAATATAACTCAGGTGACTATTTTACACATCGACAAACTGGACGTAAACTAGCATCAGAAAAAAATTACAAACAATGATTTTTTAATAGAGTCTTTAATGACCTATACAATTGTTACAATTAATTTAGATGAAATTTTTAGGTATTTTGCTCTTTTTCGCCATCTATTTCTCCGGCCATTAAAATAATTTTATTAGAAATTGCTCAGTCCATGATAAAAGAAAATACATAAAATTGTTCAAAGTATAAGCTATATGTGGAATAAACATGGGTCAATCTTTAAACTGTACAGTTATTTTTAATGAAAACATAGGTAGGTACCCTGGATTAAACCGGTTATAAACAAAATGGATCTTTTTTTTATAACTCCGTGAAATTAATAGATAGTCTTATTAAGGAGAATAGCCAAAAAATTTGACGAATCTTGTGATTAAGTCTGAATTTCAGAGATTTTCAGATAACGACAAGTCGATCATGGATGAATATTGTATGGTTGGTGTTAATTAAGAAATATCATATGTATATGCGTTAGCGTTACGGTGTGCAACTTTGTATCATTTTTTAGCGCGATTTTTTTTTGGAATTTAAAATTTTGATTTTACCGGAAATGTATTTCTTTATCATGTTTAGAATGGTGTTGTTAAACGGCTCGTTTTTGAGCCCATTTTTAAAAAAACAGCTGACTCAATATTTTAGCCAGATAAATATTGCCTAAGCCTCAAGATTTCGACAACATATGTTTGGATCTTTGTTCATTCCACGAGCAAAACCTTCGGGCTTGTGTAATATTTGTCTGGATGAAGTATTGAGTCAGCTGTTTTATGGGCTCAAAAGTTATTCGGTAAAATTATCTACGAGATAGGAATTCTAAATACGAATAAATTTAGGGGGAGAATCAAAATTTTAAATTCAAAAAAAACGCGCTCAAAAAAAGGGATTTAAAGTTGAAAAAATAACACATTGCCTGGTAAAAACACGTTGACTCTGCTAACATGTATATACATATGATATTTCTTAATTAACACTAACCATGCAAAATTCATCCACGAACGACTTGTCGTTATCTGAAAATCTCTGTAATTCTCGTCAATTTTTTTGGCAATTCTCCTTAGTAAGCTAATCTATTCTATTATATTTCACGGAGTTATAAAAAAAAGAAGTTCCATCATGTTTATAACAGGTTTAATCAGAGTATCTACTCATGTATTCCTTAAAAATGACAGGATAGTTTAAAGATTGCCCATGTTTAATCCACATATAGCTTACTACACTTTGAACAATTCTTTATCATTTTATAGAAATGGATGCCCAAAAAGGACAAAAGACCTAAAAATTTCATCTAAATTAATTGTAAGAATTGTATAGGTCATTAAAGACCCTATTAAAAAAATCATTTATTTGTTGATGTGTAAATAAGTTGTAAAAATATTTTAATCATTTATGATGATTAAATTAAAAATTTAAAAATATCTAATTATCTTTAAATTGCAAATACAATTATTTTTCTGTTATAAATAGTTTTATTTATTAATATTAAATAAATTTTTTTGTGTGAGTCATGAAATATTTTTTTTTTGTTTGGATTTTTATTTTTAATATTTTTTTTTTAAAGTTTCGCGCAGTCATCATGAACATTATCTATATATATAATCCTCAAAAAATGTCAATCAAATCTAGCCAATAGTTTTCTTTTAAATATTATTTGTCCAATCAAAATGATTATAGCAAATTTGATCAATGGTAATCAACGTGAAAACTAAATCATTCATTCACGAATCACTTCAATAAAAACCATACCACATCACTCTATAACCATATCATTACAAAAAAACATATGCACAAAAATTTATACTAACTTCAAGGAGCGAATACTTTAGGTTATTCCCTTAATTTATCTGTAACCTATATAATTTGGTGTTTAAAAAATAGAGCCCTTTTATATGGTGGAATGAAAGAATCTTTGCCAGATTATAATGAAATAGAATTAAAAGATGCCCCAAAACAAGCATTTAAAACATTACTCAAGTATATCTATACTGAGAAAATGAACTTCTTCTCAAAAAGTAAATCTATTTTATTCAATTATTATTTTTTTCAAGATAATTATTTTCTTACGTATAAAATACATGCAACTTAAAATTAAATTATATCAGGCTCAACAGGAAATTATATAAAAATATTGTTCAGTCTGGATGGTCAATATTTTAGCAAGATTTGTTCAAACCAATTTAATCAGAGTACAAGATAATGCCACCCTTAAGATTTTTTATTATAAACATCCCTCTGGCTAAACTGATTTTTATAGGTCGATTGGATATATTAGTGTTGTCAAGGGCCTGTTTTTGATATTACATGTTTATAAAATAGAAATATCTAGGGATCTACCAATATCTTTAACAGATTGAACAGATATTTTGTCTTTTTAAAAATATTATCTGCCAATTATATAAAAAAATTTATCCAATCCGATAAAATTGTTCATTACTTATTATGTAAATAGATTAATGTTATATAAATAAGTGATTTATCATTAAAAATATTTTATAATAAACTATAAACGATCATTACAATATATTTAAAGGACTTATGTTATTGTATAATTAAATTATAGATGTTATACTATTAAAAAGTATATGAGATGAGTAGATATATGTATTAAAATTTAAAACCTAAAATGTTTACAGACTATAGATCAGTAATCGGCTATTATTAATTTAATGATTTCAATATTGAATTGGATCAGCTTCCAAATAGTATTTTCGATGCACCCCTAGAGATAGCTATATATTTATGCTATTTTATTTATCAATTTTTTTTTTTTTGGAATTTATTTTTGCAAACTGCAGGCTATTT